AAGTGCTAATGGTGCAGCCTCCTTCTACACTGAAGAGTAGCAGTACTTTGCTTTGTCAAAGTAATTTTTTTTTTCTCTTGAGGAAAACAAAGAGAAGACGCTTGAATGGCCACCACATGTGGGCAAGGGATGGCCTTCAGAATCGGAAAGTCTTCAGAATTTCCTTCATCTACAGACTGGCTCTGATGTTTTACTGCTGCCAGATACAAGGGCTTTAAGAAGGGTCAGGGACCTGACAGGGGTATTATTTTCCTGTCTTCTCAAGTAAAAACATAGTGGACAGCCGACACCTCCCTTGGCTCCAGGCTGTGCTGGTGACTTGCTCTTTCCTAGGGTCGCCCATCATGGTAAGGTGAGACACGGACCTCTTCAGCACCTTGCTTTGGAAACCACAACAGGGAACACACCTGATTTACTTGAAAAATAGTCCGTCACTTCTAACATTTGAAATTGGAAACCAAGCGTTAGGTGGGTATATGGGGTTTGCTAGCGTAATGTGATTTTTGTGGCAACCAAGAAACAGGAGGCACTGAGACTGGCAAAGTGAATATATATCAAAGAGGACTGACTGGTGGTTATGGAGTCTGGCTATTGACACAGACTCTTAATAGTCCCTGTTTTCTCTAATGACCCTTGGGTTAGTGCATGTGCTTGAGCCATTGCAGGCACAGAGGAAGAGGGTCTGAACTAGGCAGTGGGTATTTACTAAGAGACTGGATGGCAAGAGTGGAAGAGTTGTGGAAGCTGGAGGCCAGCAATGATATTTCAGTAGACAAGAATAGCATTAGCAGCTGACACAGAGCAAAACACCTCTGAAGAGCATAACCAGAAGAGCATCACCAGAAAGACCTGTCAAAACTGGTGGAAAATCGGGGGATGAGCAGAAATCACAAGAATGAGCAGGACTACACATACACGATTTCTGATGATGGCTGAAAACAGTCCTCCACACTGACCACCCCCAAACAGTGTTGGAGGACCACAAAGCCCGAGAACTGAGGGGTCTCCACAGTGATAGTACCTGGAATTTTCTCCACTGGGAGAAACAGCTGCCAAACTCTGCAAGCTTTGTTTGTTGGTGGAAGCTGCTTTGTGACAAAATACAGAGAGCGTCTCTTCAGGAACCCAGCAGACAAGACTAGAGTAAAGATGTAGGGAAGAAGAGATGCATTCTGTAGCATAGCTCTGCCCCACATTTTATGTCTGCTAGAATCCCCAATACACAACGTATTTTACATCTCTTGGGAGCGTACTGTCTCCATTTGCACCTTTTAATGTCCTGCATAGTAGCACAAAGGGGATGGCACAAGGGAGACGAGAGAACTGTGCTGTGGAAGCAAGAGACCCTCATCAGTATTTGTGCCATCAATACTTTGGGGAGGAAAGAAAAAGAGAATCCAAAACCCCAAACCCCACACTAAATTTGCACTTGTTCTCTCAGGCTGGCAGCCTAGAAGTTCATAAACTCAGAATTACCTTGTTCTGGAGTAAACTGTTCTGAAAACAGTTTCCAGTGGCTCCCCCGAGTTTGCTTTGCTGGTGGCAGCCCTTCGGCTCCATGCTGGCACATGTATGAAGCTCTTTGAACAAGTTTTGGCCTTCCTTTAACCCCTCTGCCCATCAAGCCAGCTAATGACATGCTTCGTATTGCACAGAACACATACAATTGACAAGTTCATAATGTTGTTTAAATATTAAACAGTCTAGACAGGCTTTTGAGTCTTAGGCCACTGTGAAAAGGCTCAGACCATGCCCATCTCTGAAACTGGGCTGCGGGATCATTTGCACAGTAAGACAGACAATAAGACTTGTATACATTGCCATGCAACCAAAGAGACCCCAAATTGCCAGCCCTAAGTGGAAAGTTTATTTCTAAGCACAATATATGGAAAAACTGAACCAACAAACCCCACAGATATAGAAAACGTTGTAGCAAATCCCTGGTCAAGTAGGACTTCATGTCTGTCACTACCCTGCACCTCACAGCCGCTTAAAGTGTCGTGTAATGGAGGAGAGGGCACTCAGATGACACCCTCCGCTTCCGATCAAGGAGGATCTCCAAGCAGGAGAGGGCTGGTGGGACTCCTGCTGAGCAATTCGGACTGTAACCAGCAAGAAGGCAGCGCTGCTCACCCCCACCACACGCTTTGTGACTACCGGTGGTAGACTTGGCACTTCAACAGGCTTTACCAACGTGGATTCTCACAACACCCCTGTGAGGTAGGTACGTATTGTTATTCCCCCTTTTCATGGAGGGGGGGACTGAGCCAAACAGCCCAAGGCTACAGAGTTGGTGGCAGAGCTGGAGTGAGAGTATGCAGAGTCCCGTGTGCTCAGAGTACTAGGTCTCACCACTCTTTCACGGCAGGTTGTGCTTCTGACCTCATAAACTTTTAGCCGTTGGCCAAATTAAAGGAATTTGACTTCTCCATATTAAATGAGCAGAGGGCAGGGAAGGAAACATGTCTGACAGCTGTCCCTTCATCTGTGTATGCTGCCCCCTTCCCCAAACCACCATAATTACTCATCTGTTGGAATGAGGACAGCTTCCAGGACAGGCATGGGGGCGAGAGGCTGCTGTGTTCGCTTGTTTTGGCCAAGTTTCTCTCTACTGTGAAACAGAAGCAGTTCTTCCAGAGAGCG